TCATATTTAGATTTTTATGCCGAATTTCTAGCTCCTACGTTTCCATTGCGGGCCCTAGAAGTCGCTGTTTCTCTAAGCTTTGGAACCTGACTCCAGGAGATCTATTCTTTCGTCCCAGGATCTCAGCCGGAAAGAGAAATCCGCGCGGCGGCCTCTTCCAGCGCGCGGGCTGGGAGCGCGGGTTCTGATCCTCGGTCGCCCCGGCCGAGCTCCCTCAGGGCCACGGGAAAGAGGAACCTCAGCAGCTCTGAGGGGCGAGTCTCTGACGGTGGGGCTCCCCCTCGTCCTGCCAGGACCCTGCCCCAAAGTCTTGCCTTAGGACGCTACCACAGTTAAAAAATGTTTTCTCCTGCTCTTCAGAGCACTTGGGATAAGTCTCCTGATGGGTCTTGGGAATGAACTAAGATGTCGCTCCAGGCACTCAGGACCATCCCTCTGATTTTTATATTTTGGGGCTGAGGGCATTTATGAAGGACTGAAAAACACCACAGTCTTTGAGGGTCTCCGTTTGGAGGATGAGGGGGTGGGAGAGGACGCCTTCTTGGTCCTTGGAGTGGACTGGCAGGCAAGGAAACACACAAACTCCGTTTCCCCTTGCAGGCTGGACTGTAGGGCCTGGGATGGAAAATGGGACAAAGGCTAAGAGTATTTATGTAGCGTTTGGCTGCATGCATTAAAAATTGTTATCCCTAGAGATATGTGTAGGAAGGGACCAGGGCACTGCTGTTCACCTCCAGCTTTGCAGCATATGTAAATTTGACAACAGTGTATAGTGCATAAAAATTCATTCCTGTTTACAAATTATTGATCACAAGCAGTTACAGGTTTCTTTGTCCCTTCTCCACTTCCACTGCTTCACTTGACTAGCCTTACAGGGAAAAAAATTATTTGTAAATATGATATGGTTTCAGTTGATCCTCAGCCCACCAGCTAAAAGTAGTTGGAACAACAGGTGTGCACCACGTGCTGGGCTCATTTTTGTATTTTCAGTAGAGACAGGGTTTTGCCATATTGACCAGGAAGCTCTTGAATGCCTGGACTCAAGTGATCTGCCTGCCTGGGCCTTCCTGCTCTTCCCTGCTGGGATTACAGCTGTCAGCCGCCCCACTTGGCCATCATATTTTGAATTTAAATATTTTGTAGTCATCACTCTTCAAAGATTCTGGGTTTTGTTGCATGTGCATGATGGGGTTCACGACATGCTACTCCAAAATATAACATCTTGGGGTATTGAATATTTTATGTTTAATTAATTTGAATAAACAATAGAAGCAGGAAGGTCACTGTCACCCTCCCCCTGCCCTTCTTCCCTGAAGTCAATTATAAGACCCTTATGTGAGAGGTGCCCTCTCTGTACCCAGAGGAAAGGTACATTCTGGAGTCTGAAGACCCAGGGACACAGAGGAGCCTGAACACAGAGGCCTGGCTATGTTTTCCCCAGTTTGTTACTGTTAGATCATAGTTTTATTGTCTTATCATACTTCTCCATGACCATCCATTCTTCAATAAACCTACAGTTAAAACAAACAAACAAAAACCCTGAGGTTTAGCTGTTTCCATGGGCCCTCATTTCCTTTGGAAGGCGCTCCTGTCATGTAAAACGTACATTAAATAAATACATACGCTCTTCTCTTGTTAGTCTGTCTTTTGCTGTAAGGGTCTCAGCAGTGAACCTAGGCTGGGTGAGGAAAAGTCCTATTTCCTCCCCTACATGTATAAATGTCTTCCACTGTAAAACTATAAAAATTTTATTGGGGCAGACTTGAAGCAAGAAGTTGAATCATTATTCCCCTTTGGATGAGCTGAACAGATAAGCTAATAAACTCCCATCTCCTCCCAGATAGAAATACTTCTCTAGCTCATTCCCTGAAGCTCCTTGAGGGTCAAACCTGCTGGAGATTAAGGGGCCTTCCTGGGATCTCCCAGCCCAGGAGGTTATTGTCGGTGAGAGGTTTGCTGCAATCTCCCTGGGAGGGTGCATGGCCAATGGAAAGTATCACTGTTGTAACCAGTACAAATGGTTTTCGTCACATCTGCTCTTTGTGCAGTGTTGCAGGCAAAATACAAGAGCTAACATGCACATGAGTAACATATGCACATCATCAACCGTGCCTGAATCACAAATTGCCACATGTCACGCACAGTTGATGAGTGCGTATGTTTACTCATTTATTCCTTACCTCAGGCCGAGGTCACACCATCACTTTCATCTTCCATATGAGAAAACTGAGATGCACGAAGACGTTAAGTGACCTGCCCAGGGTCACTCAGCCAGCAAAGGAGGATTTGAAAGCAGGAATTTGAAGTGAAGGCAGCCTGGCTCCAGAGGACGTTCTCAGAACCACTGCATTTTTACTGCTCCTAACAAAACTACCCTTGCAAAAATTATGACAGTGAGAAAAACCTGGCATAGGAAAACTATGACTGTGAAAGAAATCTGACCTGACTGACCGCATCTTACTTCTAACTTCTGAGCTGCCCTTGTCCATTCCTGGGCATAGGCCAGGCTGTGAGAGGAGTTTAGTTCCAAGTCTAAGTCTGAAGCAAAGATGATCTCCCCTTCCTGAGACAAACTCCTTCCTATCTTGGGGATCAGACCTCCTTAGCAAAGCTAACAAATTAGGCACGAGATTAGAAATTATGGCTCAGGAGCCATGCAGCCAGAAGCCAAGTGATTCCTAAGCTCCCAAACTGTGCCTTTATATGACATTATTAGGGTCAAACCTAAGATTGGTGTTTAAGATATTTTTCAGACCCTGCCTTATGATGGACTAGCTGGTGCCACTCAGACCAGTAAACTGGCTCATCTGGTCTGGTGGCCCCCATCCAGGGACTGACTCCGTGCAAGTAAACAAGCTCTTATACCCTGTGATTTCCATCCCCAACCCAACCAATCAGCTTTGCCCATTCCTAGCCCCCTGCCTGCCAAACTATCCTTAAAAAAACAAAAAACAAAACAAACAAAAAACAAAACAAAAAAACCCTAGTCTTTGAATTTGGGGGGAGGCAGATTTGAGTAATAATAAACTCCTGTCCTAGTCCTTCAGCTGTGTCTGCATTTATTAAATTCTTTCTCTGTTGTAGAAAACCTGCTGTTCTCAGCTCCATTGGTTTATCTGGGCAACAGGCAAGATAAACCTACTGGGCAGTTACACTAATAAAAGAGAAACACAAATGGTAAGCATGCTTAAAAAGAAATCTGTGTATTTCTTTTGAAGAAACACAAAGGGAGGAGGAACAATAAGACAGGCAATACACTGTACTACATATTTTTGTGATTCTCCTGCCTCCTTCATATCCTTCTTGTCCCAACAACTTCTCCCCAGAAACCTTCAACTTAAACATGATTCCCGCCAGAGCTGGGTTTGTCCTTTACTTTACATTTTCCTCTCATCTGCCCCACACCCCTTCCAAATCTAATCTGTTCTTTTACTTCCAGGTCATTGAGGATTTTTCATTTAAATATATAAAAATTCGTAAAGAGGAAGATAACTGGTCATCCATATTCACACCTCTTGGAATTAACTACTGTTAACATATCTATATATTTTTCTTCCAAATCATTTTAAGCTATTGTCTTTTTAAAAAAAATTTATACATGCTAAGCATAGACTGTACTAACAGTAGAGAAAATGTAAACATATGTAAAGTTCTTGATCACCTAAAGTTCAAAAATAACTTCTCATAACATTCAGGCAACACTGGAGTCATGGTATTGTGGTATATCTACAGAGAGAAGAATGTATATTTTAGCTAGACTGTCCCCCCCAGGCCCCACGAAAGAAAAAATAAGAAAAAAATAATAAAGAAGGATATATATACCTGAAAAAAATTGCAAAATAATAAAAAGTATATATTTAAAAATATAAAAAATACATATTAAATATAATCATATATTTAAATAAATATAAGCATATATATGTTTGCTTTTATAAAATTGAGCTTAGACTCTATTTTTATTTTACCAATATTCCATTTAATAATGCATCAACTTAACTGCAGACAAAGAGACGGAAACACAAATGAAGGAATTCCTGAACTCCCAATCACAGTTAGAGAGACATTTTTCTAAAGGAATCCTCTAAGGGTAAACATACACTAAATTGAGTAGAAGACATTAAGATTTGGAGTGGTTTTCTTACTCCTTTTTACAACCAAGTTGATTAAGGTGTGAGCTGACTATGGTACAACGCATCCATTTCAAGTTCGATGACGTGTCTATTACTCTAAAAGGTCCTCTTGTGCCCTTTGCAGTCAGTCCCGCCTCCCCCGCGACCCCAGCAATCAATGATGTAGTTTCTGTCACTATACAGGTTAGTTTCACCTGTTCTAGAAATTCACCTTGATGGCGCCTCACAGGATGCTCTCTTCATTACTCGGCATAATGTTTTTGAGATTATCCATGCCATCTCATGTTTCCGTAACGTGTCCCATTTTATGGCTGGGTAGTTCGGGTAACTGGGGTAGATTGCAGCCCTTTCTGCCTACAGGTAAGACTGCGGTTCCGATCTGCAGGCCTCGGTGAACATGAGCAAGGGCACCTGGGCTCTGGGAGAGCCCTCCCGTTCCCCTACAGAAAGCAAGCGTGTTGTGTCTACAACCGAACGGGGACACTACCTTCATCACAAAGAAAAGCACCAAAGGCCCTGCTTTCATCCCAGAGACAGCACCCGACTGCCTAGAGTTTCTACCTGGCTCTATGAGGTGAGAACACGTTCTCTGCTAGCACAGAAATCCCACAAACTCGCGTGGGGGCTGCGGTTAGAAGCAGAGGCTGTGTGAAGGGTGACTCTGGGGGCTACTAAGAAACCAGTTTTCACAGAGCGTGAGAACTCAAGAGACTGGAGACAGTGAAGCAATGTCTGCAAAAAGGAGCCCCACGTAGAAAGGGAAGAGAAGGGCCCTGCGGCCACTTAGCTTGTGTTAAACAAGCTCACGACAGGGGCGGAGAGGACAGTAACACGGTACTTTCTCTGCTCACTTTTTGCACTACAAGATTTCAGCGGAAAACACTAACGCAGTCCCCCACCACCACAAGCTATGCAATCGAATTCCACACATATGGAGAAAACGCAAGGATCAGCACGTGGGGAGTGTAATGGAATAGCCTTGTTCTGGCAAAACCACCTTCAGAACGTTATCTTCTCTGCCAGGTGAGTATGAGTTTACACACCTCCGCCCTGCCACAGCCCCACACGCCTCACCCTTTACACACACGGTCACTTGCCCCGCGCACCCTCGAGCCCTCCTAGACCTGACACACAGCTGGGACTCTCAGGTCCGACCAGCGGTCCTGGACTCGCTCCCACAGCAAGGAAACTCCTTCGTGGCCTAGCAGCCGGTGGCGAAGCGGCAGCCCCTGCGCTGCCTCATCTACATAGAAGTCGCTCTCTCCGTGATGTCACCAACAGTGTCTTTCCCGTCCTACTCTGCGTTTCTGCCCCATCTTCCGCCACTCAGTCGAACAACTTGCTGCCAGAGCCTGCGGGGGCAGTGACGTCTGCCTCTCCTTCCTTTCCCTCCCTTCTCCGCGCCTGATCTTTCCAAAGAAGTGGGTGTTTCTGTTGTAGTTTTTTGTTTTTTGTTTTGAGCCGGAATATCGCTCTGTCGCCCAGGCTGGAATGCAGTCGCATGATCTGTGCTCCCTGCAACCTCCGCCTCCCGAGTTGAAGCGATTCTCCTGCCTCAGGCTTCTGCGTTGCTGGGATTACAGGCGCATGCCACTAAGCCCTGCTAATTTTTGTGTTTTTAGTAGAGACGGGGTTTCACCATGTTGGCCAGGACGATCTCGAACTCCTGACCTCAGGTGATCCGCCCGCCTCGGCCTCCAAAGTGCTGGGATTACAGGCCTGAGCCATCAGGCCTGCCCAGAAGCCAGTTCTTAGCCTGTGTTGCCGAGGACCTCTTTGGCAGACAGCTGGAGCCTGTCCACCGTTCTTCAAACAATGGCTTGTAATGTGCAGACTAAAACATGTAGGATTACACAAGAAACTGGTTCTCTTCACGTCGTTATCCTTGTCATTAGCATTCTACTTGAAATTGGAAGCCGTTCAATATCAGAGGGAAACCATATCTATGAAACTAGAGAGGCTGCTCAGATGACTGCAAACCAGCCATCCTTACTTGTTTTACCACTAGCACTGTTATAAAGAGGGTGGTCCAATTTCATGAATCTTGTAGGGTGTTTTCAAATACAGCAATGTACAGATATGCTGCCAGCAGAGCACACTGGACACTCAGGCATGGTGCTGGAGTGTGTCATCTCTTCCACAGCCTTCTCTAGACCTTAGCACTTACCTCGTGTTAGCGCTTTATGCTCTGCAAAGACAGAAACAAAGTGGTCCAAATTTGGAGGAAAAAAAATTGAGGGGAAATTTTATTTGAGGTGCTTGACTGATTACTTTCAATCTGTAGAATACAACCCCAAACTTGGACAATACTCCATAGACTCCAAATCTATCAGACCAGTTTTTCCTGTCCTTTACTTTCATATAAATCGAATCATAAAGTGTGTAGTGGGTTTTGGGGGAGTATAACTGCCCAATGGGTTCACGTTGCCTGCTGCCTAGACAGAACCAATTTATTAAGACAGGGGAATTGCAATAAAGAAAGTTACTTACCCAGAGCTGGCTGTGTGGGAGACCAGTTTTATTATTACTCAAGTCAGTCTTCCTGAGCATTCTGGGACCAGAGTTTTTAAGGATAATTTGGTGGGTGGGGGCCAGTGAGTTGGGAGTCTGATTGGTCAGGTCGGAGATGAACTCAGAGGGAGCTAAAGCATCTTCTTGAGCTGGGTCAGTTCCTGGGTGGGGGCCACAAGGTCAGATGAGCTGGTTTATCCATCTGGGTGGTGCCAGCTGATGCATTGAGTGTGGGGTCTGCAAAATATCTCACACACTGATCTTATGTTTTACAATAGTGATTTGATCCCCAGGAACAATTTGGGGAGGTTTAGAATCTTGTAACCTGGAGGCTGCATGACTCCTAAACCATCATTTCTAATATCGTGGCTAATTTGTTAGTCCTGCAAAGGCAGTCTAGTCCCCAGGCAGGAAGGGGGTTTGTTTTGGGAAAGGGCTGTTATCATCTTTGTTTCACAGCTAAACCATAAACTAAGTTCCTCTCAAAGTTATTTTGGCCTGTGCCCAGGTATGAACAAGGACAGCTTGGACGTTGGAATCAGTTAGGTCAGATCTCTTTCGCTGTGATGATTGTCCTAGTTATAATTTTTGCAAAGTCGGTCTCAGGAGCAGAGGCATAGGTTTGACTTCTTTCACTCAGTCTTACATCTATGAATTGTTCATGTTATTCATGTGGTTATTTGTTTCTGTGTGTATTCCTTTGTATGAATATAGGCCAACTTATTTATTCTACTGTTGCTGAACATGTTGACCTAAAAGAAAGATGCTGAAGCACAAAATATAATTTAGAGTTTACTTGAGCCAACGTGAAGGCAGCTGCCTGGAAGACTCATACCCAAAGAACCTTGGATCTGAGCTCCCTTTGGCCTCTGTCACAAGCAGGTTTTTAAAGGTCAAAAGTGGGGACGCACGATGGACTGATAGAAAGGTGCCTGTCCGGAATTCTCATTGATTTTCAGAAATGGCATTGATGAGAGCTTGGCTCTCCGTTGTTATACGGCGTGGAATATAGTGTTTGGTGTGGCATTATTAGATTAATTTACAGCTACCTGGAGTGATAGCAAGCAGTTCCAACAGATGAATACGTAGCTCAAAAGGAAGGAATCAGAAAGTGATTGCTGTCTTGATTTAATGTCTCTCTGATCATGTGAAGTGGCTCACATTCCTGAGATAAAAATTCTTTTAAAAATCTTTCTTCTTGAAAGCACTGATGATCAAAAGCTCAGGCAAGGTGTCCCTCTTTGCCAGGAAGGCTCATTCCCAGATGGTCTTTCCCACACTGAGGGCGGGGGAGGAAATGAGAGAGAGACCTCAGTTAAGTCTACAGCTATCACTTGTTGAATCATCTCTAGTCTTCAGATACCATAAAATCACTTTTCTCAGAAGTAAAACAGGAAATATATAACATTAATAATTTGAATAGAACACATATAATGCACACAAGAATGAGAATCACAAAGAGAATCTGTATGCCAGAACAGTAAGGGAATCTATTCCATTAGGGAGCCAACTAAAAACATTGGGGAAAACATCACATCCCAGTTCTTCTTTCATGATTTCTTGTAGCCAAATGACTTCTAATTTTTTCTAGATGACGTTCTACTTCATGGGAAGTATTTATTTATGTATATGCAACAAGACTTTGTAACCAGCACACATCCACCTCCCTGCTCAGCTAAATCTACCATCTGAGGTAGGCTGCGGCTCTCCCCTTGTGTGTTCTGGGCTGTGTTGTGTTGTACTAAGTGGAAGAGGAGGTTGTGGGCAAGCGTTGTGCAGAGATCACAACCAGGTGGGCAGGCGGCTGCTGTCTCCACACTATCACCTGACAATGTACAATTCCTTTTATGAACTCATGTAAGTGCTGCTGTATCTACCCGTTGTTTTTGTTTTGTTTTGTTTGAGACAGACTCTCTCTCTGTCTCCCAGGCTGGAGTGCAGTGGCACGATCTTGGCTCACTGCAACCTCTGCTTCCTGGGTTCAAGCGATTCTCCTGCCACAGCCTCTCAAGTTGCTAGGACTGCAGGCACACGTCACTGTGCCCAGCTAATTTTTGTATTTTTAGTAGAGACTGGGTTTCACCGTGTTGGCCAGGCTGGTCTCAAACTCCTGACCTCAGGTGATCCAACCACCTCAGCCTCCCAAAGTGCTGCGATTACAGGCATGAGCCACCGAGCCCAGGTTCTACCCATTTTTAAATAAGGCTAATAGTGTCTTTGAAAATATATATCATCTAAAGTGATGCAATTATCTAGTACAACCTTACCCAGTGAATAAATAGCTTTTTGTAGAGCTATGAAAGAGGCTACAATTTCATCAGCAATATTTCCTTCTTTCTTTTATTTTTGCTTCTTTCTTTTTTTTTTTTAAGACACGGTCTTGCTATGTTGCCCAGGCTAGATTGCAGTGGTGCAGTCTCGGCTCATGGCAGTCTCAACCTCCCTCGCTCAAGCAATCCTCCCACTTCAGCCTCCCAAGTAGCTGGGACTACAGACATGCACCACTATGCCTGGCTAATTTTGGTTTGTGTTTGTTTGTTTGTTTTGTTTGTTTGTTAAGAGATAGGGTCTCGCTATCTTGCTCAGGATGGTCCCAAATTCCTGAGCTCAAACAATCATCCCATCTGAGCCTCTCAAAGTGCTGGGATTACAAGCATAGGCCACCAAACCTGGACTCTTTATTTTTCTTTCAGAGAGACAGAGTGGCTCTGTTGCCCAGGCTGAAGTGCGGTGTCGCCATCATAGCTCACCGAAGGCTGGAACTCCTGGGTTTCAATGATCCTTCCACCTCAGCCTCTGAATCACTAGGATTATAGGCCAGAGCCACCATGCTCAGTTTTTATCAGCAATATTACCTGATGCTAAAGAAGGATTTCTAACCATGGGAAGCAACATCCCATCAAAGCAAAAGGGTGTTCCCCCAAAAATGTATGGAGCTACTTTCTTAATGTCCAGGCTGGTAATTAGCAAATTTTCCCCCAACAGGATCTCCATCTATTAATAAAATAGAGTGGTGGGCATGCCTAGTGAAAAGTTTGAGGATACTCTTCCAATTTTTTTGTTTGTTTGTTTTGTTGGTTGGTTGGTCGTTTTTTTGAGATGGAGCCTCTCTCTGTCTCCTAGGCTGAAGTACAGTGGCATGACCTTGGCTCACTGCAACATCTGCCTCCTGGGTTCAAGTGATTCTCCTACCTCAGCCTCCTGAGTAGCTGGGAGTACATGTGAATACCACCATACCCAGATGATTTTTGTATTTTCAGTAGAGATGGGGTTTCACAATGTTGGCCAGGCTGATCTGGAACCCATGACCACAGGTGATCCACCCGCCTCGATTTCGCCATTCATCCAATGTTGAGTTTCTTCGGAGCTATATATAGGGGTGACCAAATATCCTAAAAGACATTGCACTTCATCATTCCATGCCTTTAGATATTTAAGGGCCATGGATGGTGATCTCCTCCAGAGACAAAATAAATGCTGGTCAGAACAGGTAAGTGTAGTATAATTTGGGTACATCAGCTTTTGGCATTTCAACCATGGTCAGACATGTTAGAGCAAGAGGGCAGATTGCATCCTGATAGCAGGAGGGAGTGTTTTTCTCTTAACTTTCCAATAGCATCATGGTGTTTACCCCTGACATTTCAGAGTGAGGCAACAATTTTTTGTTTGGTTGGTTTTGTTTTTGATTTTTGGTTTTTTTCAGCCGGGGTCTCACTGTTGCCCAGGCTGGAGTGCTGTGGCAACATCACAGCCCAGTACAGTCTTGACCTCTTGACCTTCAGGGCTCCATGAATCATCCTACCTCAGCCTCCCAAGTGCTGGAGTTACAGGCACACACCACCACACCCAGCTTATTTATTTACTTTCTGAGACAGGGTCTCACTCTGTTGCCCAGTCTGGAGTGCAGTGGTGTCATCAGGATTCACTGCAGGCTCGAACTCCTGGGCTCAAGTCATCCTCTCACTTCATGCTCCTGGTAGCTGGGACTAAAGGTGGGCACCACCATGCCCAGCTAATTTTTGTATATCTTGTAGAGACAGGGTTTCATCATTTTGCCCAGGAAGCTAGTCTCAAACTCCTGGGCTCAAGTGATCCTCCTGCCTTGGCCTCCCAAAGTGCTGGGATTACAGGCAGTTATTTTGACGGTACAATTATGATGGGTTAAACTGAGACATGGGGCTGGAAGGTTAGGATGAGTCAGACAGATTCGAAAAACAGGTTTTGCTTGATGTGACCCTGATTTGCATTGTCAGTACAATAAGGAGGAATACTGGTGAAATTTAGCACAGGATGTACCAATGGATCATTATGGTCAAAAATGGTTGGTGGTTTAAGGTGGCAAACTCAGCACCTTGTCAAATTTCCCACAGTGGCAATGGTTTGTGAGATTCTGATCAGAGAATTATCCTTCCCTGCTGTAATCAAATTAATTAGGGAGAGTAAAACAGAAATCTGACCATAGGCATTTTGCTATATATGTACATGTATGCATGTATATGTATATACACATACATGCAATAGAACTAGTGTGCCATATCTTAAGATAATATACATATAAGGTGATTTTACCAAAACCACCAAGAGAGAACCCCTACAACTTAAAGGAGCCTTAACGGCATATGTATTCCAGTCAATAGAAAAAGCGACCAACTCTTTCAGTTGCAGTAAGCCCTGGAATTGTGAATAACTGGTTATACAGCTGGTATGTTTGGCAAAAGTGGACTACAACAGATGTCAGCTACTTGCCATCTTGGTCAGGAATATTGCAGGTCACCTTTAAGTGAAAACCTCCACTGACAGATGTCCACTCTGGTAGGGATATGAGAAACATGAATCTGTGTGTCAATGCCCTTATGTTTACTGCCACAGAGATTGGGCAATAATACCTGCTGTGAGCCAGGTGCTGTGGCCCACACTTCTGGTCCCAGCTACTTGGGAGACTGAGGCACGAAGATGGCTTTATGTCAGGAGTTAAAGGCTACAGTGAGTCATAATTGCTCCACTGCATTCTGGCCTGGGCAACAGAGTGAGACCCCATCTCAAAAAAAAAATTAATATTAATAATACCTACTTGGTGCCTTCCAGTGGACTTGGAGGGAATATTTACTTGATGTTGTTTCCAGTAAGCAACATCTCCAGTTTATATGCATAATTTTTGATATTTTCATCTCCCAGCAGCTCATTATGAAAGACATCCTTTATTAATTTGGAGCTCGTGGTAAGAAGTTTTGTGAGACCTTAGCAATGACAGAGAATGCTACCTTTAAGAAGTGCCGGTTCATAAGCCCCTTCATCTAACCACTGCATGGGTCTTCCTGTTATTATTTCAAAGGGAGACAGTGGAAGTTTTCCAGAAGCAGTGGGTGATCTCTGGCTAGGGAAGGTTAAAAGCTTCTGTTAGCTTTGCCAATTGAGTGTTTATTGTACCATTTTTGAGTTGCACCAGTTTAGAGAATTAGGGGTGACAGGCACAATGGAAATGTTGGGACGTAGGCCAAATGTTACAAATGGATCCAACTACCTGCCTGATACAGTGTGTTCCTCGGTTGCTATGGAGATCAGATGGCACTCCCCATGAGGAATGATTTTTTCTCATCACAGCCTGCCTGCTGCTTGGCCTGTGGCTCATCGGCATGGAAATGCTTTACCCCAGTGAGAGCACAAACAAATTACCACCAGAAGGTATCTGTGACCCTGAGATGGAGACAGCTGGATAAAGTCTAACTGCCATGTCTCAAAGGGTGCTAAAGATACAATGTCCCTGTGACACATGAAGGGATCTTCCAGGATTATGTTTGGGACAGAACAGACAGTACTACAAGAATAAACCCTTTGTGCAATGGTAGACGATGGCTTTCCATACACTGCTTTCCCCATGCTATCATTTTGTCTGAATTCCAACAAGTCAGCTTATGAACTACTTTAAAAAGGGTAATTGAATCCTAAGGGGTGGATCGTTGTATCATTGGGCCCATATCATATGCTGTTTCTGAAAAAACAAAAAACAAAAAACAAAAAAAAAAACTTGTTCCCTTTATCTTTCCGGAGATCTATCTCCTGCTTCGGAGATCCCACATGTGCTTCTTCTAATAAGGTTTTCAATGAGCCATAAGTCAGCAGGGTCATTTAGAGAAGTTCTGTGTCCGATGTCACCTTCAGAGCCGCATTCTTAGCTGCCGCATCAGCAAAACGGTTGTCCTTGCTCTCCGGAGCATCTAATTTTGAATGACCAGTAATTTTGATGATGGCCAAATATTTGGGTTTTCAAATTGCTTCTAA